CATTGTTGGCCGGGGTTATAATTTAGTGGCAGAGCTTAGGCTTAGCATGCTTGAGGCCCTGGATGATATAATTTATATATTATTTATCTGGAATTTAAGTTAACTTGGGGACCCTGTATTGTATTTAGTAACCCTATTCTGGTAGCTGTTCAGTGAGATTACTTTTCTGAATGTTTTAGAAGCACAGTAAATTAAAGAAAGGAAAACACTGTAGTCTTCAAGGTGAGATGATTTAGCCTGGAGGGAATGGTCCACTATGAAAGAGAAGGCTTGTTTTCCCTAGTGAGCCAAGCAACAGAACACTCAAACCAAAGAGAGCTTATTTATTTGCTAAAAAGAGCAAAACAGAACCCACTGTGCATTTAATAAAGGAGCCAGGTTCTGTCCTGGCCCTGAAATCATGAGCCAGATTATTCTCCACACCCTGGGAAGAGGGTGTCCCAGCCCCTGAGGCCACCGGGGCAGTGTGGGGCCCGGCAAAGCAGGCGCTCATTAAGTACAAATAGGGCTCAGAGCGCGTTCCTGGAGGCCTGGAATTAGAAAGCCAGGCCCGTACGAGGGCTCCACTGAGCACAGTGAAGGCACATTTTGTGCTTGGAAAACTCACACCTGAAATTGCTCCTGCATCCGATGAATGCAAAGCTAATAAAACTGTTAGAGGGCCTTTCAGATTCGCTGCCCCGGAGTAGATGGGCTTGGGCCGAAAATGGAGCCCGATATGTCCCCAAGACCACCAGAGCGTGCTGTTCTGGGGGGGCTGTGAGAATGTTGTAGTCCCATTTCGGGTAATAACCTGGTGGGGAATTAAATTAAGAAGAATTCTGTTGCATGTGTAGTTTCCAACGCAGCGTTTTACGGCTTCTTCAATACTGAGGCATTGCTCTTGCTCAAATAACTAGTTTCTGTTGCATGTAATATTAAAAACTCCTCATTTAGCCTAAACTGCCCGCGAGCAATGTTTCTTTGGAATATGGACCGGAAAAAAGGCAGAACAGCATCTAGTTAGGACAAAGGCTCAGCCAGCTGGGGAGTCCTGGTTAAAATCCAGTTGGCTGCTTCTCAGATGTGGCACAGGAGGTCAGTTACTTCATATCACGGACCTCAGGCCCCATGTTTGAGAAATGGACCTGATTAAAAATATAGGAGAGGGTTGTTTAGTGCTCAATAAAGCACATAAATGATGGCAAGTGGATACATAATGCCTGGCTCCTAATTAGTGGTAAAAGACAAGAGAGAGATGCAATGAATAAGATAACAAGAAAACAAGGACAGACTCTGGATGGCAAACTCAGTGTCATGCCCCGGAGACCAACAGCTAAATCTCTGGCATCGTATTTATAGGAGAGTGTGTCAGTCCCCTGCCCTGCGTTCCATCAGTCTTAAATGAGATAATGCAGGTAGACCTTTACATTCACTTCCTGGGATGACAGATCACAAGCAGCAGGGCAGAAAAAGTGCAGAGGAGAGGTTAGGGGGAGGCACAAGGACCAGGGAGGGAGCCAGGTGAGGCAGTGTGCACTAGCTACTCGGGAGGCTGAGGGGAGAATCCTAAGTTCAAACAAGCCTGCCTGAACAAGTGAGAGCTCCTCACAGTGAAAGAGTGGAGTTGCGAAGTACAGGCCGGAGAGGGAAGAAGGGGGACAAAGCAGGAAGGACAGAGAGCAAGAGAAGCAAAGATGAGAATGGACACAGGAAGCCCACAAAAAGCAGGCAAAAGGACATGAAAAGCAAGGAGCCCAGTGAGACTTTGTGACCCGAGCAGTCTTCAGCAAGCCCTGGGTAAATGGGTAAATCCCAGTGTGGTCCTTTAGATAAATACCACTTCCTTTCCGCATCTCTGAGTTCCTCAGCACCTGAACCTGATGCCCTGTAACCTGAGGGCAAGGTACAAAAGGTTTCATTCTCAGACTAACAACAAAAAAGGGATGAACTGTGATATAGACAGGGAAGCATGTGCCATCCTCCCTGTTCTGAGAGCTTGAGGTCTCGTAACAACTGAACAACCAGAAGCAAGAGAACTCAGTGCCACCTTGTGGAAGGAGTGGCCCCCCTGCCCCTCTGACAGAAGCGAATGCCCCTGATCAGGGAAGGACTGTATTGGTTGATGTATTTGACATTGTGGAAATGATTTTGCTTCTGTGAACCTTGACTGCCTTTTCTGTAAAATGGAATGATACTTCCTGGTGGACTTTTCGGAGAGAATCATATTGTATGAGGAATCCAAAGCACCCGTTAGAGAGCCTGGTGTGTAGTAACGGTCTATAGGGCAGCATGTAGTAGGACTTACTAGTTTTTTCTTGCTGGAAAGCCTAATTTTTATTGAAAAGCAGATCAAGGATGCCAGCCTGGATCTAACTGCTCACCGCCATCCTGTCCACCTGTTCCCCTCCAGGTGACGCAAGACCACAGTTTCCTCAACAGCACTTCACATCACTCTGAGCCAAAGAAGTGGAGAGCGAGTTAAGTGTCTCCTTTTTTAACCAGGGAAGAATACCTTCTTCCAAAGGCCCCAGGAAATGTCCTTCTTAGGTCCCATTAGCCAAAAACTTGGTTATATGACTAAAGATTAAAAAATAATAATACAGAATAAGAAACTGAGGCACAGAGACATTTGAAGCAATGAAAGGGGGAAATGAATCGAATATGGTAACCCTGAATTGATTCCTCTTGCCTTCAAGCAACTATTACACTTATGTTTGTACATTGCAACTGTGATTGATCCTGCTGCAATTCATAACTTCTTTTTTATTGCTATCTTCAGCTGAAATACAAATCTTGTACACTTCAGGGGTTTTTTTTTTGTTGTTTTTTTTTTTGGTCCTCCCCAGCTCTGTAACTTGCGCAACCATTTGCAATCTGCTAAAATAACGTTAGCAATCTTTGCAGAATCCAAACATAACCAGACAGATCCGTGCTCTTTGCAGAATGTCCCGTGGATTCCGATTTTATTTATGGCACCTGTGTTTAAGTGCAAGACTTTGGACCCAAAAAGAGAGCATGGCCCAGCCACATGCCCTCACAAAAGGCTCACCTTGGTCAAGTTCACTATAAACTTCAGAGACACTTTCATAACTTTTCTTGTTTGCTTTTTATACACTCATTTATTTAAGGTTAAATCTATTCCAGGAATTGTAGTCGGTTGGGGAATTTTCTTGAGTGAGTCACCCAACCTGGAGCCAACATGAACAAGTGCCTGACAGACCATTGGCACTCAAGAAATAACTGTTGGATGAAAAAAGCAGAAGCCCTAACATGTACTCCATTTGACTGAGTCATCAGGGTTAAATGCAATAGTGCAGTTAATGATAATTTTAAAGATAATGCATTGAATTAACTTTGAGCATTTAATGCTCATAGTGGGTGCTTAGAAGCTAGCCCTTCTTTTGCTGTTCTGTTTCTAACGGTGGTGAACGTGCCAGTGAACTTCAATCCTTGGGTCTGCAGCATGGCACACAGACTCTGATCCTTCGGCCTCATCCTTCATTCTCTGTTCTGTATTCACACCTCATCATCTGACCGGAGCCCCCACATTCCCCTGACAGATCAGAGATGGGGACACACCACGCTTTGTGTGTGCACTTTTCCCGCGCTTGCAGGCTCCCCTCCTTCTCCCGTTTCTCATCAGGTTCAGGCTGCCTCATCCTTTAGTCCATCCAGGCCCTGTCCTCTTCTTCCAGTGCCCTGTGGATTGCAGTCGCCACCCATGTGGTAGTTACCTCAACTCTCTTCCAGTCACATGACAGGACTGCGTTTTTTCTTCCTAGTCGAAGTTTTATATGAGGTGACAGTGAGGGGACTGGACTTGTCTTGTCACCTGGCCTGAAGCTCTAAGGGTCAGGTTATGCTGGGATCATTGGTGCCTGGCCTCTTCCTGACCAAGCCCGGGAGCTGCCCTGCTTATGACAGTCACTGCTCTGTCTGCCTTGGTCCCTTAGAGACAGGCCTGCCACCACCGTCATGGGACAAGCAGCCAAGGAAGGAGGCCCCGGCAGGGGTGCTCGTCTCAGTCCTGCCCACCTCTCCCTGGCTGCTGGAGCACTGCCCCCCCTGCCAGTGACACGCGGTTATAATTGCTGACTCAGTGGCATCCCTCAGGAAGTGGCTCTTGGAGAGAAGGACAAAGCACTCTCTGTGCCAGTCCAGGTCTTTGTACCGGGTCACCCACTGCACCCAGTGTGAGCGGTGGGAAAGGAAGTACCTGTGGTCCTGGCAACAAGGAAGTGAAAGCGCTGTTGTCATAAATGGGAAGCACCATCTTTATAAATAGAAATACTGGTCTTTGAGGGGGAGGTTGATGTTGTAGATTTTTGGCTTGAGTTTCCTGAGTTTACACGGGCAGCTGTCTTTTGTCACCTCAAAAGTGATTTAAGGTGACCCAAGGCGTTGTCCCTGGGGTAGGGTCAGTGCCACCTGTATTCTGCGCTTGCTGCAGTTTGCTCCCTAAAGCCCTCTGCGCACCAGCCATGTGGGCCTGAAGACGCCTGCTCTAGGAACTCTGACACTTCAGCCAGCCGGGCAGGGCAGCTGCTCATGCTGGCCCCTGGCCCCTGCTGGGGCTCCTTCACCACACAAACCCCAGCAGGAGGTGCACAGGGCTCCGGGTTGGCAGGAGGCTGTTTGCTGCAGTTCCCATTCCAAGGCCCGCCAGGCCCCGCTGATTTAAGCTTGTCATCACCTGCAGCCATTCAGCACTTGAATGGTTCTTTAAGGCTCTCTGATAAAGGCGTCCATCGTCTGGTGATCACTGTCCTGTAAAAGTGCTGGATTAAGAGCTACTTTATGCTTTCTGTTTTGCTTTTTCTTTGTCATTTGTGTCTCGGTACAGCTACTAGAACAGCAAAATTTTCACACTTTCACTGAAGAATTTTTTTTTGTAACTTGTCAGTTTTTGGAATGCTGTAGCTCCTTTCATTACTTATGACAATTATTTAAGCAGACAAAAGTAGTTGTTATAAAACTGAAATTATTGCTATTATGGTCCTTTCATTTTTCTCTTCAAGCTAATATCACCAAGCTGTGATTGACTGAGGAAATGTCTGTGAGCTCCTGTTTACTGACAATTGATCTTGTACCAGGTGGGCTACCATTGTTTTTAAATATTATTTCATTTCATTCTTTTTGGGGGGTGGTACTGGGGATCGAAATTGGGACCTTGAGCTAAATCCCCGGCCCTTCCTTTCATTCTGAGGCCACCCAAGAGGGTCAGCAGAGCTCCTCTTTTTGATGGGCTGCTTGAGGCCCAGAGAGGAAAGAAGTGCTTTTAAGAGTCAAGATTTAAATATCAGGTAATTTTAGCCCGCAACTTTTTCTTTCTTCCTCTCTCTCTCTCCCCCTTCCTTCCCTTCTTTCATTCTTTCTTTCTTTCCCCCAGCCTGGGCTTCCTTTAAATGACTGAACCGTGTTCTCATCCTCATCAGACCCCTGAGTGTCCCGCAGGGGACTTCTCCCTAAAGTACTTCCCACCCCCTTTAATTGCCCAAGTTGTACCTGTTCCATAGTCACTTTCCTCTCACTGGACTGTGTTAGAGCTTACTTCTAAAATGTCTCCCCAAAGCCTTATGTGTTTGGAAAGCGGTTGGATCGGGTGCACTGTACTCAGAAGTGGATTCATCCACTGATGAGTTCTTGCCTGAATGCACTGTTAGGAGGTGGGGCCTGGTTGGAGGTGGGTCACTGGGGACATGATATGAAAGGGTATGTTCTTCTCCCCAGCTCTTCTCTTTTGCCTCTTTGCTTCCTGGCCACCATGACATGAGCAGCTTTTCTCCACCAGACCCTTCCACCGTGCCGTTTCTGCCTCGGCTCTGGTGACCATAGACTGAAACCACTAAAACTGTGTGCCAAAATAAACCTCCTCTTCAAGTTGTGGGTGTCATGTATTTTATCCTGGAGGCAGAAAGCTGACCATACAGACCGGAAGTGTTCGTTTCCATCTCTACCTTTCCATTTGCACAGGGGCTCCTTGGGGAGGGTTCTCATTTTGGTCCTATGTTACTCACCAAGGCCCCACCAAGCCTGCACATAGCAGGCCTGGCCACTGAGTCCTGAGCAAGTAACATGTGCCTCTTGGGGAAATGTTGAGTTTGCTAATTTTTACCATGTTTGGAAGAGAAAAAGGAGGATAGTTATTGTAAGACGAAATCTTAGAACCTAATTTAGTTAAGGAAAACTAAAGAAAGCCCATCTAGAAATCTCATGATAATTTCTAAAGCATCATTTCACTTGAATTCAGTGTACTGCGTTAGTCAGCTTTCCATGACTGTGATAAAATACTGGAGCTAATCAACTTTAAAAGAGGGAAGGCTTATATTGGCTTATAGTTTTGCAGATTTCAATCCATGGTCCATTGGCTGGCTGCTTTGGGGCCTGTGGCAAGACAGTGCATCAAGGCAGGAGTATGTGGCAGGGGAAGATGTACATCTCCTGGCAGCTAGGAAGCAAAGAGAGAAAGAAAGCAGCATCCCAAAGTACTCTTTGAGGACATGGCCCCAGGGGCCTAATGCCTCCTATTGGGACTACCTCCTAATGTTTCCCTAACTCTCACTAGTGCCATGGTCTAAGGAGCAAGTTTTTAAGCCATAGACCATGAGGACACTTACCCAAACGTCTCATTTAGTTGCTTTCTGTGGCATAGTGGACCTCAGTGACTCTCCCAGATTGATACTAATCTGGAACAGAAAGCCTGAATGTTCATGCCAGCTTGTTGGATGCATAAATGTGGTTGTTACAGCAAAAAAAGCAATGGGACTGACCAAGGAGGTCGAGGTCAGTTATATCCTTTAGATTCTTCTCAAAATTTATGCTCATGAAATCATCATTTAGCTTGAAAATTTGCAGGGTCTTGAAGCATGTGTTAAGCTTCATTAATAATGCATTGCTGGCCTTAAGAAGGTGTGACAGTAGCAGGAAATCTGAAAACCTCAGCTCAGTGATCACACGTGCCGGAGAGTTTCTGCAGCAGGTTCCTCTAGGGGGGCTGGCATCGGTGCTCCATGAGTGAAACCTCTTCGGTCCTGTCCTATCCTGGGGTCACTGCAGAAGATGGAGAAGCCTGTAAAAGCCCATGGCTGGCAGGCTGCTTCTGTCCTTCCCCATGGCCCTGCTCTCCCTCCTTATCTACTAAGAGTTAGGGGAAGAAACACAGCATTTTTACACCGTCTTTGCTTTCATTTTGAAACACAAAACAAACCATTTCCAAATGTAGCTCTCTTACAGCTTTTCTGATCCTATCACACATTAATAGGACAAATTCTATAGTATAATTGCCTCCTTTTAATTTATTAATCTCCTCCCCCACACGTGCGCACACCACACACACACACTGTACCCTGTGTGGGCTCAAATTGTCTGAGAAGGGACAGGCTGGATGTGGATTTGTCTCCGATTCCCTAGTGCCTGATACACAGCATGTCTATTCCGGTCTTGACACTGAATTGTAGAAATTCCGGTCTGATCATCTGGTTTTTGCATTCCTGATATTCATGAAAGGTTGCTTTTCTGTTTGTTTAGGAAGGACTTGAGCACTGTAAGTGGTAAGAACCAGGATGCTGGGCCCATGAGACAGCTCTTAGTCCCTCCCTGCTATCCTAAGCAATTCTATTCCTTCCCAAGGGGGGGCGGGTACTGGGGTCTGAACCCACAGCCTTACACATGCTAAGCTCATGCTCCACCACTCAGCTCCCCAGGCCTCACTGGCAAACTTCCAGACCTCTCCGAAGGAGACAAAAGCCCTAGAGTAAACTACTTCCACCCAGCCTAGAAGGTCATTAACCCGACCTGTGGAGACAGAGGGACTGAAATTTTTGTACCACAGGCACAATCCTTTTGTCCCTGCCTGAAGCTGAAACGCTTCTTCTAATAGAGTCACTGAGAAACTTTTATATAATGCTTGCATTAGTCAATTTTGAGTGCCGTAACAAAGTATGGTAACCTTGGTGGGTTAATATCAGAAGTTTATTTTTCACAGTTCTGGAGGCTGAGAAGTCAGAGGTCAGAGGGCCGCCACAGGTGGGTTTTGGTGAGGTCCCTCTGGGTACAGATTGCCAAATTTTCATGGTATTCTTATGTGGGGGAAAGCGAATGAGCTGGCTCTGGGAGCTCTTCCTAAGGGCCGTAATCCCAGCCCTGAGGGTGCCACTTTGTGATCTGATCCCCTCCCAGCAGTGTCCCAGTGGGGTTAGATTTCAGTATATGAATTGTGGAGGAACACAAAGATTCGGTTCCATCTGAGTCTACTTCTGCTGCTGGAACCAAATACCTAGGACGGGTAGATTTCCATGAACAGAAATGTTTCCTGCAGGCAAGAGCTGATGTGTGACAAGGGCTGTTATGCTGAGTAGTCATCCCATGGCAAAGGGGGGATGGGCCAGAGAAAGAGGAGTAGAGGCTGTACCAGAGGCGTGGCTGCATTACTGAACATGGAACTGCCCTAACCGAACACCTCCCCTTTAGGCACCCTCTCCCGGGGCTGCATTGGGAATTAGCGTTACTTGGTTTTTGGCAGACACTTTCAAACCACAGCATGTGCAGAACAATGCAGACCTCCTCCTCCTCCGGCACCCATCTTATTTTGTTCCTGTAATGACTAAGCACCTTCTTTAGATTCTTACCTTGGCTAACTGATCTACCTCTTCCTCAGGTCCTAGGTTTAATTAATATTCACTGAATGAGTGCTAAATATAATCTGTATGGAATGCGAGTAGCAACCACAGTGGGAGAGACCCTACCCAAGGAAGGAGTCTTTTTTTCCTATTCGAGGTAACATCATTCCCCTAACACCCCCTAGCAATAAGACTCTTATCTAGCAGCATAGAAATTCGATATATTTTTCTATCTTTAACTTAGGAAATGTCAGATGAATTGTGGAACAAGTGACAAGTCTCTGTGGATCATTTTGAGCAGTAAAAGTCAGTATTTTGTTCAGCGTTTTAGAAAATTGCTAAGACAAATATATTTCTTAATTCTCTATAGCTTTTACTTTTAAGATGCATGTCAAGAGATCATAGCGTATATTTCTGCATTATTTCCTTTGTAAACAGAGGCTTAGAGTATTTCTTCATCAAGCTGAAGGTCGCAGGGCAGTGAGGGCAGAACTCGGGACTGGATGCCAGCTTCTGACTCCTGGACTCCCACTCAGCCCTCTCCTGCATTGGGCCTTTCAAGCAGTGAAGACTTTGTAGAGATGCCTTTTGTGTTCCTGAGATTGGGTTAGTGATTTTGATGACCTAAATAGATCCCTTGTCACCTGCAGCACTGGGGATTAAGTAGGTGACAATGGCTGACTCTCCCTGAGGGTTTCCACACCGCAGTTCCAGTTCTCAGAACAATCCTACTCTTCTTGCCACTCCCACATTTCAGATAAGAAACCCAGGCTGCTCTTGGTCATGCAGAGGGAATGCAGTGTGGAGGGAGGATTCAGTCTCCTGTGCCTAACCACCAATCCCGCTCCTCTGAGCTTCTGTAACTCACCTCCATACATCCAGAATTGCTCTGCTAGACACCACCTTGTTTCACCTATGTTAAGTAGTAAGAAACAATTTTGCAAGACCTTTACACTGACCTGCATCACCAGCCCATGTTTTTATTGCTTATTTTGAAACAGGCTCTTGCTAAGTTGCCCAAGCTGCCATCCAAGTTGTGCCTCAGCCTCAAAGAGTGCTGGGATTACAGGCTTGAGCACAGACAGCGTATCTCTGAAACGTGCAAAACATAAGTTAGAAAGAAAGACTGCCAAGGCTCACGATGAGCTAACTTGAAACACGCCAATTGAGCTGAAGATGCTGCAGTTGTAATAAAAGATAAAGAGAGATCTCATAGTGTTATGTTGGGGGTAAGATCTGGGTATTGTGGTAAATTGGATAGATTACATGGCCTTTAACTATCTCAAGATGAGCTAGACAAGGGAGCAGGTGTCCCTTGCTTAAAGAAAATGTATTATGGATATAAGAAAGTGTCGCACGTCTGAAACCCCAGCACTGGGAGCCTAAGACAGGGACATCACAAGTTCAAGCCCAGCCTGGACAATGTAGTGGGTTAGTGAGAACCTGTCTCAAAAAAAAAGAATCTTAATGGAGAAATAAAATTGAAGCTTGCAGCAGCGGCAAATAGGATACTAATTAAATTTATAGAATCCAAAGCATCTGAATAAAGAAATATCGAACTTGCATAGCATTTCAACTTATTTTTAAGTGAGGGACACGTGGAAATGACAGCGGTGTATGTACACATTTGGGGGCCGAGGAAAGAATCGTGCACTGTTGTTTTCCTTAGTGTTATCACATAAACAGCAAACACATTTATTCAAGAAAGGGAAAACATGGCCAGTACGAAGCGCAGCCTGTGGTGCCCTGGTCACTGTGCCCAGTCAGGTCCCAACTCCTTGCGGGCCTGTTTGTGTCTTAGCCTCTGCTCGCTTCCTGGTTCATTTCACGGTGCCTGGCAATCCCAAGGGTGCCTGACTTGGGATGGTTTCACGTAGCCATTCTTCCACTTTATGAAGGTGCAGAAGTGAGATGCCTGTGTAGGAACCATGTTTTGAACTGCGAGCACCTTCTGGTCCAGCAGTGTTCGGTCTCATTTCTGTCTGAGCTGCTGGGCAACACCACGGAGCTGGAGCTCAGTGCTCTGGACACAAGGAACAGCTGCCACCCCGAGCCGCCGTGCTGTGACGTTCAGTTGGTTACGGGTGTTTGGTGCATTTTTAAATCACAGGCTTTCCAACGGCCATGTCTGGCTGTCACCCGTCGTAAATCCCAGAGTATGTGTTCAATGAACCCCGATGAGCCAATCACACAAATAATCAGATATCTCTTGGGGGCTCTGTGGTAGAGCACATTCCCTACCTGTGTGAGACCACAGGTTCCATTCCTAGCAAGGAAACAGAAATCTCTTAGCAGTTTTCAAGCTTTCCCATTAACTCCCCCCGGACCCCGTTAGAACCATCTGTAGTGAAGTGGCTTTGCTAGACTCCGAGCTCAGAACCCTGTTTGTCATTCTTCTGTGTGTCTAAGTTCCTCTGCACTCCCTGGACTCTGTCCCCAGAACAGACAGAAGGGAAGCTGGGGTTTCTGAGGCGAGGACTCCAGATTCCTGCAGCCTTGTCTCCAGGAACACCTGTCGTAGCTGTGTGGCCACGGCAAAGCCCAGCTCCAGCCAGGGCTTCCACCTCACCAAGCCGCAGCTCCTGCTGGGGACCATTCTGGAAGGCCTGTGCCTGGGAGACTTTGAGCGCAGTGCTGGGCGTGGACATCACCTGCCCTGTGGCCGCCAACCTGACGCTCCCTGCTCCTCTGCCAGCTCTGTCTCTGGCTGGGCGCTCATGGGGCTGCACTGTGCACATCTCCTCTGCACTCAGTGTTTGCCTCCTCCCACGTGTGTCTTCCACATTGCTCTCTGAGAACAGCACTGGTTGCTCAGCGCAGCCTTAGGCACCCTGTCGACACCTTGTAAAAGTGCTCACCTGTGGGTGCATGGAGACCTTAGGCATCGGTCCTGCCAGGCTTGCTCTGTAATTTTTAAAAAGTTTTCTCTTATCTTCTCCTTATTTGGTAACTAATGTCCATTGTTGACATTAATAAAAATCAGGACAACACTTAAAAATGCATAGTTGAATCTTGAGAAATAGGAAGACCAGACCACCCTGGTCCCTGGTCTCCAACAGCATCTGCCAGAATCTGCCTAGCTGGCTCTTCGCATGCAGCACGTGCACGGCTGCTTGCCAGGGCTGCACCAGCCAACTGGCTTCATGTGTGAGGTCACGTGGCTGGATCCAGCAGGCAGTTCTGTGCTTGTACAGCAGAAGGGTCCCAGACCAATGCATTCTCTATTGTCGTTTTTCGGCTGGCCTTGTCAGCTGAGCTGCCATAAGCCAATGTCCTAGGGTAGGGGTTCAGCAGTAGCCATTTAGTTCTCACAGGTCTGCAGGCCGGAAGACCAATATGGAGGCATGGGCATATGGTTCCAGCTGAGAGTCTCTTCTGGGCATGTAGATGGCTGCCCTCTCTTTGTATCTTTCCATGGTGAGGAGAGCGAGCTCTGGTCTTTTCCTTTTCTTGCAAAGACACTAAACCTTTCACATTAGGCTCCAACCACATGACCTCATCTAAACCTACTCACCTTTCGAAATCTCTGCCTCCAAATACTGTGACATAGTGGGGTAAGCCTTCAACAGATGGATATTGGAGGACACAAATACTCAGTCCATTTTAGGCTGGTTCAGACAATCAGGCAAATCCTTCCTGCATCTCTGTCCATCCAGGTACAGACTGATGTACTTCGGTTTGCGTGGATATTTTTCCAGCTGTGAACTATTCTAATCTCCCTAATCCAGATCCAAAAAGCAGTGCAGATGTCCATGTGTTTGGGCACAGGGATCAGGAGACCTTGCTATCCTACCCCGTTCAGAATCTACTTACTTACCTGACCTTTGGGTTCTCATTCCCCTACCTCAGCTTCCCTTTCTGCAAAATAATTAGACAGAATAAGATGACACATGGCCCTTTTGCTTCCAGTGCCCTGTGTCCCCTCCTGGCCATTTCTAGGGAGACACATGGAATTCTCCTGGATATTGAAGCCATGGGCCCCAGCCAGTGATGCCCCTGCAGCTGAGGTAGCACCTGCCAGAGGAGGTGGAGTCATCCCTGGGGCAGAACCAAAGCCACACCCAGCAGAGTGGGCTGTGGCAGCACCGCTCTGCCTCCTGTCTGCAGCAGAGCCTGTTTCCACTCAGCTGCACGAAGTAATGGGAGAGGCCCTGTCCGCCCTCCTGTCACGGAGCACTGCCTGTGCCAGTGTGTTTCTGAGTCTAATGAAGGATTTATTTAGGTCACCACTGCCTTCTGAGCCCAGCAACACAGACAAAGCTTGAAGCACGTTTCGGAGGAGCAGCTCCACCTCCTTGCCTGGGGCTCACCAAGGCGCACACCTGCCGCTCATCATTCATTTAGGAGGGGCTGGGAAGGGCCTCTTCTGCCCCTCCACGAGCACAGAGCCTGCTTCGCTTCGGTGTGTCACTTCCTTTCCTCCTTGAGCCTCTGTCTGGTTGAGTCACTGCGGTACTCTGGACTGTGAACAAATGTGTTTGACTAATTATCATCCCTGCATCCCATTTATACCATTCAGCATTTTAGGGACAAAAATAGCTACCATGATTGGAAGACTTGCCATGGGCCAGACAGGGTGGTACAGCCCAAGTATTCGGATATGCTCTTTTACTTAATCCTTACAATAAATACATACGGCCAGTGTATTTGAACTCAGGCTTTGGGTTTCAAGGCTGTTTAGTGGGTTTTAAATTACAGGGTTGATATCTGAGCCCGGATTTTTGACTGAAATGCTCTGATTCCAGCATCGCCTTCTCTGCCCTTCTTCCTATAATACCACCTCTGGGACCAGACTGACTTCCCCCTTTGTTGTTTACCAGGATTGCTTTTAATCCTGGAATTAAAAACAATCCCAACCACAGTAAGAAACTACCCAAAAAACAAAGAACACCTCTTTTAAGGGCTGAGATAATCAGAATCTGACTGGGTGTCCACATTCCGAACTCATTTGAGGACTATAGGTGGATAGGTAGGCTCCTCTGAGAGCTTCTTAGGAATGCCGGTTCTGAGGTCTCTCCCCAGACCTCCTGCAATAAAATCAGCCTTTTGAATTGGATCTCCAGGCGACTGTGCTGTGCGTATCCTGCTTGGCAACACTGTGCTCAGTGACTGTAACATGCAGCCTGAACTCCTGGGAGGGAAGCAAGAGGCGCCTCCCTCTGAACTGTTGATCTGGATTCCTGGGCCTCATCTTCCACCCAGTGTGGAAAATGATGCTGTGTAGCTTGACGTCAGGCTACCCCAAGGAGCAGGCTACATTTACCGTTCTTATTTTGCCATGGAGCCCTCAGAGGCTCCAAGATGACACTGAGATAATAAATCTCTGGGCCCAAATCCCTGCTCCTGCAAGGACGTCCTGCTGCCTTCCTTGGTCTGCACAGGCATCTCCTCCCTTCATTCCTACAGTGTGGTGTTTCTTATCCAGCTAATCCTTTGCAACATGGATCTCCTAGCATTGCTGAGCATCGCAGGGGGCATAGGGGCATAGCATACCTGGAAGAGCTGCCTTCCAAGAGTCTTCATTTTTTTCAGTGGGGAAATGGGGTCTACAACACTTCTATTTTGCCCCCATGGTAAATGTGGTCCAAGGAACCTTATTAAGATTATGAGAACTAAGCTTTGTTCCTTTCTACCCTGAGCTTGTCCCACCCCATCCCACTTCACAGCAATGACCATGAGACCAACCGAACCACAGTGAATGTCAATATTTGTTGAAGTGTCATGTATGTATAGGCAATTTCAAGAAAATAAATATTTATGCAGGTCTTAAAATATCAATGTCCTTTCATAGACTGACAGGCACAAGCTGGAGCCGTTTCCTCTTTCTTGATTTCCAAGATGACCTTCGGAGGATGGAAATTTGACACCACAGCAACAGGCTATTAAATGATTGTGCAAACATGAACATGAAGACATTTTTTGACTCTTAGAGATGAGCAAATAACCTTACACTTTGGAGTGCTCAGAATTTCAGCTGCATAAAAAAAAAAAATGACACTTCTGTTGTTCACACTGTCATTACCCAGAAAGTTAAATCACTCCGTACTTTGGGATGCTTGGAAAGAAGCAGTTTTTGCATAGCAGCATAACAGATTCACACTTTCTGCTATCTTATCATGCTTTTGCGCAAGCTCCTCCCTCTGCCTGGAATGCACTCTCCACTTCCCATGGAGAAGCAGCCCTGTTCAGAGGAGGAAAAAACACACAAAGGGCTTTGGAGATGGTCCATGGAATTTTGGTTTTGATATAGTCCTTCCTGGTGCTGTGATCCTGGGGAGGCCATTTAACCCTGACAGCATGTTTCCAAGTCTTTCCTGGGGACAAAGGCAGGCCATGACTGTTGACTCTACTGGGTGCTAGGCACTGTGCTGCCTGTTTAGCATGTGTGATCTTATTTAATGGTGGAGTCACCTGTATGAAGAAGGTGTAAGCTTATTCTATAAAATGGCACACTGAGCCCCTCAGAAGGAAGAAACTTAGCTGAGGTCAGTTAGCTGTAACAATTCCAACTTGTATCTGTCTGACTAAAAAAGCTTCTTTGCTTTGCTTTTTTCCTCCTACTTTTCACCACCTTTTCATGGCTTATAAATATAAAATTAAATGGAAACAACCATCTCTCAGTAGTGTTGTGAGTCTCAGAAGAGGGAATTGATATGCAAGTGCTTACTGCCCGGTGCACAGTGGGTGCTCAGCACGCAATCTCTTCTTTTCCATCTCTTGTTAAAGGCATAGATGACTTGTGGCCAGGTGTTTTGAGGGTCCGTGCTCCCCTAGAGGAGATCCTTGGCTGCACCACCTGTGCTGCCACCTCTCTCTTCCAGGGGCTGTCACTGCCCTGTGGATGGAAGGAGGTCGGCATCACGGTCCCTGATGTGCTCAGTTTACCTTTTGAGAAACATTCCAGTTACTTCATTTGATCCATGAGTAAGTTCCAGCATTGAGACTGAGAGAATATATTACCGTTAATTACGTTTGAAATCTAGGTCAAGGTGTGAATTATATAATAAGGAAACTTATGGGAAAAAATAAAATATTTTGAAGAGATATTTCATAGCTTCCCCTCCCTTTTTTTATTTTCATTTTTTTTTGTACCAGGGATTGAACTCAGAACATGGTGTTTGTGAGGCAGGCGGCAGAACCACTGAGCTAAGTTCCCAGCCCTCCCCTCCTTTTTAATTAAAATATTTTCTAGACTTTTAGGTGATGTTGTCCAATCACCTAAAGAAAAGTTGAATACCCCTTTTCATATCTGGTCTCTGCTCGACTCTCTAGGGAATGAAGACTACCTTTTGACAAAATCTTTTTCAAAGACAATTGAAATAAGTTCTTCTTTCTTTAAATTAAAGACTTTCCTCAGCAACTCCTAGCTACGGGCCTACCTGTCTACTGCATTTGACAAGTCTATGGAGCAAATGGATCTCTAGTACCTACCATGTGCCAGACATCAGTGGTGCCAGGGGCTGGGGGTGCAGCAGAGGGAGATGAGACACCCACAAGGAGGCTGGACAATGTGCAGACAGTAAACATGCATAGCATGTGAGCAGTGTAACGTGATTGTATGAAAGAAAGTGATTAGCAAGGAAAGGTGGGCTCATGCTCTGAGGAAAGCTGGCATTTGAAATACATCTGAATGACAAGAAAGAGCCAGCCTCAGGAATCCCAGGGCACAGCTTCCTGGAAAGGGAAAGCAGCAGTGGCGAGGCCCCAAAGCTGGGATGATCCTGGAGTATCAGAAGGGACAGAAAAGCAAGTGAGGCTGAGCTTGGCTGATGGAGCACCGATGAAGGACTGAGGAGGAGGTGGGTTTTCCCAGCTTGGAAAGGAGTTTTCGTTTAATTCCATGCTTAAGAGCAGTTTCCAAGTGGTAAATTCTGTAGCCTCTCCTTGGGCTCTTTTGCCTGGCAAAAGTTGTTGTGGTCAACAACTTCGCAGTGGGACCCAAGGAAACCCACTGTCCCTGACACAGACAGAGAGAACCCTGTCTTGAATTCTTAGAACTCCACCTTGGTTTGGCCCCCGCAGTGCCCAGAAGAAATAAGAGAAAGTAAGGGGTGGTTAGATCTCCCTTTGGGACCTATTAGCCCTTCTACAAAAGGAAAGAGGGTTCATTTTGCTCTTCTAGCAAGCCTGGGCCTTCAGAGGAATTCTGTGCCTCATCCAAGAATTGGTACCAGGAATGAATGTCCAACAGAGCAGAAGAATCAGACCAAGGGGCCCAGTTACCAAAAATCAAACACAGGCAATTCTTGGTTAAGAATCAGCCCACGGGGCCTGCTGACTATTTGCACACTACTTTTACTGATGTTTAGACATCAGTAGCAGGTTTAGACATCAGGCTCTGACAGACAGGAAAGTGAAGGCCCTGTCTTTGCCTACTCAGACCGAGTTTGATCCCCTCACTGCCTCTGGTTTTCCAGGCACTGCATTCCTGCGAGCCTGCCTTTCCTGTAGTCATGGTAGTTCTTCTGTGGCTTCCAGTGAGGAGAACAGGCAGCTCAGTCTGTGAGTAGCAGGTGTCAGAGAAGGGAGCAGTCACTGTTCCTGCCGAGGGACAAGGCCCCCACCGCAGGCATGGACAGCTCCATGTCTGGCCTTGACGGCTGTGGGTCCCCACTTTCATGAAATCACATGTGTTCAGCGTTACCTGGTTCATTTCCTGTGAGAGAATAATGAATTTACCATGAGGGAGAATAAAGAATTTCTTTGCGATGCCTGCAGGTTCGAACTTGCCTTCCTGGTCCTTTTCCTGCTTGGAAACTCTTCTGCTGTGAGTAGGGAGGGAATCTTGATTTACAGGGAGAGCTTTCCACATTGAATGAGCTTTCGGAGTTGGACACAGGGGTGCTTTCTTGCAATCCTAGCTCTCTGGGAGGCTGAAGCAGGAGGAGGGTCGTAAGTCAGAGCCCAACCTGGGCAACTCAGTGACTTGGTGAGATCCTATCTTTAAAAGAAAAAAGGCTGGGAATGTAGTTCAGTGCGGAGGACCTGGGTTCAATCTGCAAAGGCCCTGGAGTTCAATCTCCAGCACTGGCAAAAAAAGAAAGAAAAAATTTTTTAAAAAATTTAAAAGGGAGCTTTCAAATGAAAGACGACAACTCTTCTCAGTGCCTTGTGGGGATGAGGGCAGTGTGTGCTGAAAGGAGAAATATATACGCACAGTGCTGGATTTCCTAGGCATGGTACAATGCCAGATATCTCATTAATTTTGTATATTGATTATACGTTAGAGCCGTGAAGTTTGCATATATTGGGTTACATGTTTTTTTAATGTGACTCCTGGAAAATTCCCCTGTGCTCACCTTATACATCTGTTGGACAACCCTGATACATACTGTCTCCTTTCAATCTCAAAGGAAGTCTTTGAGGCAGGTAGAAATGTTGCCATTTTACAGACGAGTAAACTGAGGCTCAGAGAGGCTCCATCACTATGACTAAAGTCAGCACCAGAAGCAGAACTAGCACTGCACACCTCTGCAGTAGCTTCTGACCCGTCCGCGGAACAGAAGTGAAGAAGGACATGGACTCCGTGCTGCATGTACCCGTGTGTCAGCTCCTCCTGGAGTTGGTGGCCAAGGAAATGTCACTGCTGGACACATTTACCTGGGTCTTTCCTCTTTTGGAACCCACAGCACTGTTATTATTTGCACTGAGACACTTCCTTAGAAGCCAGGGTACAGGTTCAGAATTCAGTACTCCCAAGTTCCAGGCCCGAGTTTCTGTACAGCTGTGGGCAGTCATCTCAGGGCCTCCTTGCCGCAGAATGGGAAGGCGAGGGCTGTCCTACATTCTCATGTTTCAAGGCCCACTGTCAAGCTCAAGATGGACCGGTTGACTGGCTTATAGGTTCATGTGAACTTGGGGATCTTTTTTTCCTGACAGTGCTACTAAAAGGCCTAGACATTCTGGCTATGCCACCAGGAAGCCCAAATTATCCAGGAGTTGGCTCCCAATGGCCACTGCGTATGTGTACAACATTGTATTTCATATGTTAATATACTACATATGTTAACATATGGTGTGTTATATATATTTACATATGCATGCACACAGCCCCTACACATAAATATGTCATGCGTGCCCATAAGACTTGAGCTAATTTTTCCCCATATACCTCAGATGTTTTGGGAATGAAAAAGGTTTAGACATCAGTAAATTTATTTTTTGAAAATATTAAAATAGAAGCAAGGAATTTAAACTACTAACTGCCCAGTTTCTTTTTCCTTCCTTTTTTTTTGTAAAGGCTAAACTATATTTAGTTTCTTCTCTGCTGTCTGCTCCTAATTCGCCTTTCGGGAGAAATCTCAGACATGCGCTTCGGTAACTGGGACGGCTCATGTTGAAGTGGAAAGAGCAGAACAGCAGGACAATATGAAAGTCCGGCCTGGCCTCGGCCTCTGTCGTTTAGATGTTGAACACTACGGACGGTTATTGCTTCCCAAGTCTGGATCTAGAACTCTCACATGAGGATGGCAGTGGCCACCACACAGAGCCCAGCGCTCCAGGGTGTAGTCGGAGCCTCCTCCTTCACCCATCAACCCAACACATGTGCTCCATGGAGACACACATAGCCCACTGGGTGAAAGGAAAGCACAACCAGTCCTTCAGCCAATCCAAATGAGCAAGTGGGAAGGAAATGAAATTTGACTGAAACATTCTGAAACTTGCAATTGGCCCTTACACTGAGCGGAACCAACCCAGAGCCACATCTTTTTTGGCCTCTCTTAAAACACATTTCCCCTCACAGGAATTTCATCACTGACTCACCAAGTCCCCTCTCCTGATGTACTCTGGTGCTCAAAAGGTATCCATCTAGTTAACTGCTTGCTTTGTAATTTACAGTTGTGGGAACAGACAGTACGATATGGAAGCCCTGGAGTCTGTACTTTCTGTACACGTTTTGGACAAGTCTTAAACTCATAGGTAAATTTTAAACCAGTTATGAAAAAGATAATGAGTCTTCTGGATGAGAATGTTTTTACTGGCTTCGAAAACCTTACAGTCCCCATCCGGGCCTGTCTGCAGCCCTTCCCTTAACGTGTCCAGACGGGCAGCTCACACGAGGGCCTCCTGTCCCCTGTTTCTGGGAGAGTGTCACACACAGGTTGTTGGGTACCCCCTCCTAGAAAGCGTCAGTGACCTCTCTGTCTTTGGGAAACGTGGACATTGGGGCCTGTTTTCTTGAAGGACTTTATTGTCTAAATGTGATCAATTTCAGAAGCTTGGTAGAAGGGAGGAAGTTTGGAAGGACAGCCCTGCGTTTACAGTTCCAAATTGGAGCTCTGAATTCTAAAACGGACTGAATGCCTGTCCTTAGGTAAGTCAGTCCTCTATAAAGTGGGGGCGATAGTTGTCCTGCCTTCCTACTTTACAAGGTAGAGTTGTGCTGATGATCAAAAGAATGACTGTGAGCCAGATTGTAGGTAGTAAAGCTTCCTGCACAAGGTTTCCTGCTCTTCCTGGTAACCTCAGCCTTTTAATCTCTCTCAGCCCACTCTAATCATTTCTTCTGCTATGAAGACTTTCCCCATTGGCTCAGGCAAATGAATGAACATATGCCCTCATAGTACACTACCTGTACATTGTCACCCTGCTGCTGTCTGTAGTCAGGTTGCATCAATTAACATTTGCAAAATCCATGCTGCAGTGTGAGCCGAAGTAAGACTCAGCCACTGAAGCCATAGTGTACTCTGTCTCAGGAGCAGGGAAGGTTGTGCTGCATGCCTCAGACTTGAGCTAGAAGGCTCTGCTGCACCTGTCTCTCATCCTCCCCCAGACAGCAGCTGGCCAGGCACCGTCTTCTTATGCTGACGGCACAGTGCAGGGGAGCAAGGCCTCTTGCAGCAAGGTTGGGTCTGGCACACCGCCACGTCTGCCCACGTGTCCTGCCCAAACCCAAATCGTGTTGCTAGGAAGCACGCTGCCCCAAGGAGCCATGGCCAGAGTTGGGTGCTGGGCAAAGTCTTAGGACCAACCATTCACTCTTCCATCCAGATTGGTCTGCCCTGTTGGATCAGGAGCACCTGAGGGGGGACTGGAGTACAAAACAAGGCCAGCTCCTGTGTCACCTGCCCCTCTGCCGTGGGCTGCCAGATTTCATGGATGCTTGCCGAGTCCAAAGGACTTCGCTAACCGTGTTCTTTATAGCAGGGGTTGGCAAACTCTGGCTGACGAGTGAACTTGGCTGTATTTCTGTGTGGCTAGGAAGCTAAACATATCAAGGGTTGGTCCATAAACAAGTTTTATTGGCACATGACCACTCCCCTTCCTTTGTCTATTGTCTCTGGCTGAGTTAGATCTGTAAGGCCGCAGTTGGAACTGGAGTTGCCATAGAGACCATATGTCCCTCTCAGCCTAAAATATTTACTCCAGCCATTTATAGAGAATGTTTGTCACCCGCTGGGCATGATGTAATTAGTCCCAGCACTTTGGAGGCCGAGGCAGGAGAGTCATGAGTTCGAGGCCAACCTGAGCTACAGAGAGGCCCTGTCTCAAAACAACAACAAAAAGAGAATGTTTGCCACCGCCTGCTTTATTTAGAAAATAGAACTGAAAGCAAGACAGGCCCAGGGCGGTGAAGGCTGGAGGGCTACAGCCGCCCCCCGGATGACTCCTGTGTTTACTCTGGACTAATATTTCCCCTCTTCCTCCCCAGTAACTGGCGGCCCGCGAGCCCCACGTGCCACTGACTGGAAGTCTCCCCTGCTTCATGACCCTGCGACGTGAGGCCCCGTGAAGCTCCCGCCGTGTCCAGCATGGCCGCGCTGCTCCTGGGCGCGGTGCTGCTGGTGGCCCAGGCCCAGCTCCCGCCTGCCCACCCCGCCGGCCCCGGGGCCGAGCCCAGCCAGCAGGAGCCGCTGCGGAAGGCGGGGACCGTCCAGGACGACCTCCGAGCCGCCAACGGCTCCGCCAGGCAGCTGCCTCACACCATCATCATCGGGGTGCGCAAGGGCGGCACCCGCGCGCTGCTGGAGATGCTGAGCCTGCACCCCGACGTGGCGGCCGCCGAGAACGAGGTGCACTTCTTCGACTGGGAGGAGCACTACAGCCACGGCCTGCGCTGGTACCTCAGCCAGATGCCCCTGTCCGGGCCGCACCAGCTCACGGTGGAGAAGACGCCCGCCTACTTCACCTCGCCCAAAGTGCCTGGGCGCGTGCACAGCATGAACCCGGCCACGCGCCTGCTGCTCATCCTGCGGGACCCGTCGGAGCGGGTGCTGTCCGACTACACCCAGGTGTTCTACAACCACATGCAGAAACGCAAGCCCTACCCGTCCATCGAGGAGTTCCTGGTGCGCGACGGCCGACTCAACGTGGACTACAAGGCGCTCAACCGCAGCCTCTACCACGTGCACATGCAGAACTGGATGCGCTTCTTCCCCCTGCGCAGCATCCACATTGTGGACGGCGACCGCCTCATCAGGGACCCCTTCCCCGAGATCCAGAAGGTTGAGCGTTTCCTCGAGCTGGCGCCCCAGATCAACGCCTCGAACTTCTACTTCAACAAAACCAAGGGCTTTTACTGCCTCCGGGACAGTGGGCGGGACCGCTGCCTGCACGAGTCCAAAGGCCGGGCGCACCCGCAAGTGGATCCCAAACTACTCAGTAAACTGCACGAGTATTTTCATGAGCCAAATAAGAAATTCTTCGAACTCGTGGGCAGAACATTTGACTGGCACTGATTCCCAGGAGCCGGGGCTCAGGACCTTTCCTATATTGTAACTTCTGGTGTATATCTGGGGGAGGAAAGAGTTTTAAAAAGGGCAATTAAGCTATAATTTATTTGTAAAATCCATAAATTACTTCTGTACAGTATTAGATTCACAATTGCCATATATACTAGTTATATTTTTCTACTTGTTAAATGGAGGGCATTTTGTATTGTTTTTCATGGTTGTTAACATTGTGTAATATATGTCTCTATATGAAGGAACTAAAACTATTTCACTGGGGAAAAAAAGATTTTTCTGGAGACGCTGTCTTTTTTTGAATATAATTATCTTGCCCCCAAATCAAAATTGCTGGCTGTGCTGCACTTATTATAGAGTCTATATTCTTTTGTTACTTAAAAGGAAGATTTTTTCATAGCTGTTCTGGTCCTCTCTCCCTTCTCTCCTTTCTGTGTTGTTTTTAAAATTTTTAATGTCTCACTGTGGTCATCAGATTTATTTTTTACTTGTATCAGAAGATTTATCTTCACTGAGATTTCTTATTATTTTGGGAGGTGATGATTTTACCCATTCCAAATAAAACCCAGAATGTCGATTTTAACCCTACGTAAAAACTCAAAGTGGATAAGGAGAAATTAAGAATGGAGAAGCAGATATAACTAGCAAAGAGTTCTCTATGATCTGACTTTGCCTCCCAGAATATTTGCATTTAGTTGTGATTTCAGTAATGGGGAAAACCTACCATCAACAAGAATAAACCCTTGGCTTTCAAAATGATCTTGGGTCTGCATACTTTGCCCCAGGAGACAGCTGACCTCCAGAAAGCCACTTTGAATAGAGAACAAAAATTGCAGAATCTGTGCTTGTCTCGATCTTTTAGATCTGTGAAAAGCCAACAGGAAGGATTGCCTTGATAGCCTTTGGTGATAATTTATTTCCCAAAAGATCAGTATGCATCTATGGGCATATATCCCATATTCACTGACATGTAAGGATGTGCATGTTTCAAAATCGGCTCCAAATTTGCAATCCTGAATGTGAAAGACATTTTCAGCTCCCAAGGGCTAAAGTTAAGAAGTGGGGGTGAAGAATAAGACAGCCTGGGACCTGCACCCTAAAAGGGAAGGTTTCATTTCTGCCGCCTTGCTAGGGAGAAGGGTCACATGAGCTCGCATGGACTCCTCAATCAGGCTGCCTCATACAAGTGCCTACATTAAGTTTTTTATCCTGTGTAAATAAACCATTCATTACAATAAGAAAATAGAAGTAGCCAAACCAAAACCATTTCCTGGCATAGTTTATACTTAAGGAAGAGATGGAGGCATTATTATTAATGGTCCCCTACGCATACAATCTCACTGAAATTTCCCACAGGCAAACTCAGGATGAAGGAATTATTGTGGCGAGTTCAAAGGGGAAAAAGGTTCCAAAACGTGGGGATCTTGGCCAAGGTCACACTGACTATAAGCCAGGACTTGAAATCCACTTGCAGCCAAAGCCTAGGTTATTTATTTATTCATTCATTTCTACCCAGATGTTTCTAAACTCCAAGGGAAAAAGCTCAGGG